GCTGGCACCAAAGGAGCCAGATTTGCTTGCAGGAAGCAGCGGAGAAGACCAAAATTTAAGAGAGAACATGTAACAAACGCCATTGCCCCTCTCTGACCCTGCACCCCCACATACAGCTTCACAACCCAGCAACTGGGTTGCCCCACCCTGGTGAACATCTAAGACTCTACACCTCATACAGAATAGGTGCGAACAGACCAAAACATTATGGCTCAAGAAGAACAGCTCAAAGCCCCAGAGCCAATACTTCTAAGTAACAAAGAGATAGCTAACCTATCAGATGCACAGTTCAAAACACTGGTGATCAGGGTGCTCACAGAACTGGTTGATTTTAGTCACAAATTAGAGGAACATATAAAGGCTAAACTAACTGAAATGAAGGGAAATGCACAGGGAACCAACAGTGATGGAAAGGAAACTGGGACTCAAATCAAAGAAGTGGACCAGAAGGAGGAAAAAAATGACCAAACAGAAAAGGATGAAGAAACAAGAATTCAAAAAAATGAGGAGAGGCCTAGGAACCTTCAGAACATCTTTAAATGTTCCAACATCTGAATTATAGGGGTCCCAGAAGGGGAAGAGGAAGAGCAAGCAGTAGAAACCTTATTTGAACAAATAATAAAGGAGAACTTCCCCAATCTGGCAAAGGAAATAGACTTCCAGGAAGTCCAGGAAGCTCAGGGAGTCCCAAAGAACGTGGACCCAAGAAGAACACAGGAAGGCACGTCATGATTATATTACCCAAGATTAAAATGAAGGAAAGGATCCTAGAAGCAGCAAAAGATAAGGGGACAATCACCTACAAAAAAGTTCTCATCAGACTGTCAGTGGATTTCTCAAAAGAGACCTTACAGGCAAGAAGGGGCTGGAAAGAAGTATTCCAAGTCATGAAATCCAAAGACCTACATCCAAGATTGCTCTATCCAGCAAAGCTTTCATTTAGAATGGAAGGACAGATAAAGTGCTTCTCAGATAAGATCAAATTCAAGAGTTCATCATCACCAAGCCCTTATTATATAAAATGTTAAAGGGACTTATCTAAGAAAAAGAAGATAAAAAAGATGAACAGTGAAAGGACAGCAAACTCACAGTTATTAACAACCACACCTAAAACAAAAGCAAACTAAGAGGACAGCTAGATCAGGAGCAGAACCATAGAAATAAAGATCACATGGAGGGTTAGCAACAGGGGAGTGAGAGAAGGAGAAGGGGGGAGAAGGTTCAGAAAATAAGTAGCATAGATGGTAGGTAGAAAATAGATAGGGGGGAGGGCAAGAATAGTAGGGAAATATAGAATCTAAAGAACTTGTGACACATGAACATCAGCAAAAGGGGGGAATGGTAGGGGAGGGTGTGCGCAGGGTGGAGGGGAATGAAGGGGGGAATGGGACAACTGTAATGGCATAATCAATAAAATATATTTTAAAAAATAAATAATTGAATTAAAAATTTAAAACAAAAGATTTTTTTCCCCTGAAAGCTTGGGCCCAAAACACAAAAGCACATTATACAGGGCAAAATACAGTAGGTACATTTATTAGACCTACTTTTTAGATGCAGGCAATGAAATTCCAAGAGGTTTATGATTTGCCCAAAGTTATGAAGATTGAAGAGAGGAAGTGCAGGCGCTTTGGACTCTAGAGCCCCTGCTGTTAGACTGGGGGTTGGGAAAGAGGAGCTAAACTGTCCCAGGTCGCCAGGAAGTGTAGAAGGTGAGGGGAGGAGGTCTGGGCCTGGATGGGCCCTGGGATGGAGCCTGAGGCCTAGGCCTGTCCCGTGACTAGGAGCCTAGTCAAAGGGAATTCTGGGAGCACTTCCAGGAAACAGGATGTGGCAGATTTTAAGGCTGGGGTTCCTGGGGCACCCTTATTTGCAGATCTGGCCCAGACAATCCTGGGCACCTCACCCTGACAGGACTGGGTACCTCCGAAGCTGCAAACTGCTGTGGAAGAAAAGGGGCCACGTATGAACCTGACAAGCTCAAGGGAGGCCTACAAGGCAGCCTTACAAACTCAGAGACCAAAAGTAACCACATAGTTTAAAATGAAAACTTATTAAAACAAAAAGAAGTTCATGAAGGACAGTCATGTCCTAGGCTAGCATTTTTCCCTAACAAAGGTCAGTCTTTACCTTAACTGAGCCTGTCCGTTGTCTTTTTGCAAGACAACTTCCCTTTTCCCCAAACCCCTTGGGCACAAGCTGAGACCACAAATGCCCTCACAGTTATTGCTATCACATGTTAACTGTTGACTGTTAACTAACCCTTACCCACCTATGTAAAAGAAGTATGTGTCTATCATTTTAACTTTTTATCTAATCCCAGAGTTTTCCCACACCACTTTCTCCCACCCTCTAATCTATCACAATGGACTTCATGTAACCCCCTGTGGCTTCTCCTTTGGTTCTAGTGTATAAAATAAGGTGCTTAACTGCCATTCTCTGCAGCATTTCTCAATCTGTTGAGATATTACGTCCTGGCAATTGACATTAGTTAGGCTCAAATAAACTCACCAAAAATTGAATGTTTTTTACGTTGACACCACTCAAAGACCCAAAGAGATGCCCTTGTAAGATCCAATAAAGACTTTCTTGCTGAACTCTAAAGAGCAGAGGAACTGGAAAGTATGTCCCCAGACAAGTCACAGTGTCCCGTGTGTGCTGGGTCTGCTCCTGCAGCCCCCTCTGGGGGGAGGGGATGATGCCAGCTGCTTTGCGGTCTCCATCCTAGGACACTGCTCAGGCACATCGAGGGCCCCCGAATTAGCACCCATCACCGGAGGACTGAGTGAGGCATGGAAGCTTCCCTTTTCCCTGAGACTCAGGTCAGCACCTCTCTCCTCTCTGGTCCTGAGACTAATCATCCAGGGGCCCAGCTGTAGAATCCAGGCTGACACAAACCTTTGGCTTCTTGGCTAGAACAGCACCCACTACTAGGCCTTTCTGAGAGTAACCGGGCAGAATCCCAAGGCTAATTTCCCCAAAACCTTGGACACCAAGAGCTTGTATTCTTTCTGATTTTTTAACAAAATCTCCTGAATCAGCCTCAGCCATATTATTCTGCCTCAGGGCCTTTGCACTGGTTCTTCTCGCTGTCTGAAATGCTCTTCCACCGTCTTCATATGGCCGACTCCTTCTCCTGTGCTAGGTCTCAATGTACATTTTCCCACCTTTCCAGAAAGACTCTGCCTGTATCGCCCTCTCTCTGTTTTGTCTCTCCCTTGCCATTTCCAGTGATGATTATCCAGTATGCAGTAGTTCAATAATGCTCTCACACAGGACAATCCAAATTGAAATGAGAAAGCCATAGGACCCAGAAGGAGTGGGGCCCTCAGATGTTATGGGGAAGGGGAACTTAGTGTCCAGTTCATCTAAGTCCTCAGAGGGTGAGAATGCTCAGACTCCTTAATCCTGGTGGGAGTTTTGTTTTGTTTGTTCACAATGGTTACAGGGAGCTGGTGAGCAAAGGAACTGTTCTGTCCCACTGAAATACTTCTGGGCTGTCCACATGTGACAGTCAGGGTAGAAAATACAGTGTCAGGTCCAACCAGCCCTGGTTTCAGTTAGATTCTGCGTGCAAAAGGAAGATTTTGTCTGTCTTTTACAAATGCAGAAAACCCACTCTCTCCAGGAGACAGCCACCCCTGGGAACACCACAAAGAAATCAGGGAGTCCAGCTTCGAAAGTTTTAGGGACCTTCTGACTTCTCTTCTTGATCTGAAAGGGAGGCCTAAATGATCTCTCGATCCAAGACAAAAGGCTTGACCCTTTGAGGTGGGTGAGGAAGGGTGTGAGGTGCCCAGTTACACCAGAATGTCAGAAAGACAACAAATAATTTCTTGTAAAGATACATCCCATGCCCTGGCTCGGTGGTTCAGTTGGTTAGAGTGTCATCCGGTTACTGCCACCAGAGGGGAAACAAAGGCAGGGAGGAGGAGGAATGCATGTCCCACCCACAGACTCAGCAGCCTTGAAATTCTCTGTATCTTTCCCACTGTGGCAAAGAAGAGCCTTTGATACTGTGCTTTCATCCTGAGGCTTAAAAGGCCTGAAAGGGCCCACACTCCCTGAAGGAAGAAGTCCTTTAACACCTTTGGCTATTCACGCTGGTCCTGGAAAGCCAGCACCACCTTTACCTGTCAATCAATATGTAACTTCTTCCTCCTCACTCCTTGTTGCGCCAACTACATAAATCCTCAGGACGAAGGCTTGGCAGGTTTGGTACTCTTGGCTCTCAGGCCACCTGGCCTCTGGCCATGTTCAACGCACTCTGGCCACCTTGGCACTCACTGGCTCTCATCACCCCTGTGCTTGCCACCCAGGCCTCTGGCCGCCCTCACTTTCTCCACCCTTATCCTGCTTCACCCTGAACCTACACCCCCACCTTAGCTAGGCCCGTTCTCTTCCATGAGAATGATCACCAATAAACCTTGCTTGCACACTTATATACTTGCTGATCTCTAATTCTTTATTGCATTGGCGGGAAGAACCGAGCTTCTGAGACTCTCTCCTGTAACAGTCCCATGCACCAGAAGGTCGTGGGCTTGATCCCCAGTCAGGGCACATACCTAGGTTGCAGGTTTGGTCCCCAGTCCGGGCGTGTAGGGGAGGCAGCTGATGGGTCTTTCTCTCACATCCGTGTCTCTCTCTCTTTTTCAAATCAATAAACAGAGCCTCAGGTGAGAATTTAAAAAAAAAAAGGTTCCATGCAGGAAGTGGGACATATATTAAAAAATGGGCCACAGTTACATTAAAAATTGTTTTTCTGAAATTCAAAGGTAACCAGGCACCCTATATTTTAACCAGCAACCCTACCGGGGAGGGACTAGCATTTACAATAAAGGGCTTTCCTAGGATGAAACCCTGGGTTTGGGGAAAATAGAGGCCATTGTGAGGTGTGACTTTTTGAGGGGAGGAACGAAGCTGGTTATGTTCACGCCAATTAAGCAATCACAGATGACCCTGCAGAAATCCGAACTCGTGACTCACATGGGACTCGAGACCAGGGTGGGGAAAGAAAGGAAGATTAGGAGCGGAGAAGCAATCTGCACACACAGGTCCCACTACAGAGGCAGGCGGAGGACGATTTCATCCAGGAAGGTAAGGGCATGTGTGTGATTGTGGTCCTATTGTTTCAGAGGAGGGTCTGGGAGATTCTGACGGACTCCTCCGCCCTCCTCCATTGCGTCCTGATGTTGGCCACTAGCAGAATTTCTCCTCCGCATTTGTAATTCTCCAAGTTCTGTAGGTGCACAAAGTCTCCTGGATGCGCTCTCTAGACTGACAAGCAGCAGAGCTGAGGACTGGGAAGGCCCACTTGTGAGCGGCATCGTTCCGTCACTTTAGGGGCTGCTGCTCCTGGTTCACGTGGGGGGAGGGGCATTGGCTGACCCTACCCCCGTTTGCCGAAGCTCTGAACTGGAGTTAGAGGTTTACAAAAACAATTTGACACAGAATTAATTGCATTTTGAGTCTGTGATGTTGAACACAGGGTTCACCTGAGCCAATCAGTGAGTTCAACTGTCATTTCTTTTTTACCACTGGGAAGGGCAAATTACACACGAAATGCCCCAGTGGAAAGGATTCATGTAGTGAATTCCCCTCTCGGCTCTTCCACTTCTCTCCTGCTGTTCTAAACAGGCTCATTAATGTAATTCCATGGGGATCAGACCTTAGAAATCCATGAGAACAATAAGAGGGAAGAAGAATACATAATAGCAAGGAAAGAAACCACTGTTCGTTTTCTAACAAGCACAAGTTAATCATGATCACTGCAGTTTGTGAGCTTTTTGTCTATTTGTATTATTGCTTAAATTTTTGCATTATAATTATATATATAAAACACACCCCCAATTGTTGTATATGTATTTTAACCCCAGTCATGATACATGAACAAGGGAGAAGCAGAAATTGATTTCAGTGGGAGGAACAGTGAACTGTTATCAAAGTCAAGTTGTGGGCATCTTCAGCCTATTTTGGGCGGGGCGAGTGCGGACTAGACCCGGCACCGGTGTGGGGTGTTTTCCTCCGTTGGAAAGTGGGCTAGAGGACGCCGTGCTTGGCTACATGCATTGTTGTCATAGCCTTCTAGTTGTGCAAGGATCAATATCCAATAATACCTTTAGAGGGAAATAACTCCTTTTACTAACCACAGTTTGGGCCCAAGGAAAGTAAGGACTAATAAAAATGCTTTTTGGTTGCTTGTTTCTCTACAGTTTATGTTATAGAGCCCAACTGAAGGCAAATGAAGAGCATTCCCCCCTAAATAATAACTCAACTGCAAAGCATTTGCTCTTCTGTTTTCAGTTTTTTTCTTTGAACTTAATTCTCAGTTGGTGGAAGGGGTTAGCAGCCTGAGCAATTTCCATGCAATGTCAATGAAAGAAGCAGGTACACATTCTCTCACAAAGAGAAACCAGAGGCCCCAGCTGTTGTCAATGGTCACCTAGTGGCAATGTCTTTGTGGGTCTTCATGGAGCGAGGATGCTCCGGATACATTAAATGAAGCCAACATGCTTCTGCTGTTAGGTGTCCTGTGACCCCACAAGATGCCAAGTGAAGAGGCCCACTACGTCTATGGGCACCCGAATAGAGGGCGTGGCCACTCCTACATCACGGCTGAAGGGTAAGTTCAAAACTTTTGCCAATTCAGTCTCTGAATTCCACTGACACACACCTCTCCATAAATCTCTCCAGTGTTTATTTCTCCAGAGGGTAAAAACTGGCAATGAGGTGAGGAGACTCTGGTCCCCCAGGGGCTCACACAAGCTTCTCTGAGGCTGAACAGGTGAGGTGATAGGAATGGCGAAAAGTTGGATCTGGCCCTTTTGGCTGTTAGGCCTTTGGTCTAGGTCCCCAGACTGAAAAACACAAGTCTGGGAGCAGGTTGCCTCTTTCCTCAAGCCGTGTCCTGTCTACTCCTCTCAGGCTCCTGAAGGTGGTCTGCAGACACAACAAAGGTGAGTTGCCAAAGAGCAAGTGAAGCTGAAGGGCAGGTGTGATTCCATTTGTGCCCGACCCCTGGGTGAAGATGGTGGTCAGGACCTTCACATCACCCTTTATCCTATGGAAAAGTGTTTGGTATTATGAATCAATTAAAAATAAGTATTTATATGATTAAGGATGTCTAAGAGCTGAGCGTTGTCTAGCCCTCCCGACATGCTACTCTTTCCTTTGAAAAATATCTTACGATCTAGCAGGAGATTTAGGTACGAGAATAACGTCAGCAGAAGTAAGTGCTGCGATGGGAACATGGGCTGTAGGGACACGCTCTGCCCGTGAGGGAGGGCGCGGCGGTGGGAGGGGAGCGCCTCCCTCTGAGCGGGGACTCCAACAGGACAAACAAGGAACCGGTTTTATTTGGACCGTCTTTTATGTGGTCTGATGACAATTTCCCACAAACCTACTCTCCTCTCCCTCGGGAAAGAACTGTTGACAAATTTGCACTAGAGTGAACTAGCAGGGGCAAGCAAGCTTCAGGCTGGGAACATTTTCTCAAAGAGCCTGTGGAATTTTCTAAAGTCCCTGCATGGTCAACTGAGGGTGGGGGTCGGCAGATGTTCTGAAAAAATGTCCCAAGAGCAGAAGCATACTCTTTGGGGGGTACATTGCACGTGGGGTTCAGTAGGATACTGTTTCAGCTTCTGCATGATGACTCAACAGATTCCACGGCTGTGAAGTTGCAGTAGCGAGAGAGGGCCTCTATCGGTTGAGAGAGCGTAAGTCACCCATGGAACTTGAAGAAGTTCCCTAGTCCCAAGAGACTGATACAGTAGGACTGGGGGTGGGGACCCAGGGTCTGCACTTTAACACACATCTCAGATGACTCTATTGCAGGAGGTACTTGGGTGACACCCTCAGGGCCTCAGACTAGCTGGGTAGAGAGTTCTTCTGATGTGTCTGGCTTGTGCTGGTGTTTTCCGCTCTCAGTCATCCCCGTGGGTGTGTGAGTGCAACGTGACTGTGTGTGCAGAGTGGGAACAGAGCTTCATCTGTGTCATGATGTCTGAGGGAATAACCGCAGACCCGGTGGGCAAAGTCAGAACACAGACATGCTGGGAACTGAATCAGCTGTCTTTAGTCACGAGAGCCCGCTAAACGCTCCATGTGACAGCTTCTCTTCAGGACAGGGTGATATGGCAGGGGAGGCACTGGCCAGGGCATGGGAAACCTGGGTCTGGCCCAGACTCAAGCACTTACTCCCTGGGCGTCTCGGGCCAGTCGCTGTGAAAGTGGCTTCTGCCACTTAACCTGTCGTGCAACCTTAGGCGTTTTACCAGCCTGAGTCTCGGGATATCAGCTGTGAAATGAACTCCGTACCTACCTCAGATGATTGTCATGAGGAGGGAATAGAAGGCTGTGTGCGTGGGGCCTGGCACACACTGGTGCTCAGGGAGTGGTGGAGAAGCCCCTAAGGTAGTGGTGATGCCAATGGATCGTGGTAGGTGTCCACTTCACAGTCTGTGGAGTGGGTGGAGTGGCCTGCATAATTAGCTTAGAGTTTTATCCAGCACTGCCATCCCAGGCTTCTCTCTACCCCTTTGGGAAAAGGAGCCTCGGTCCTCGTGGGTCTCGAGATGAAGGGGGTTCAGTAAGTGGTATTGGGCCAAAGTCTCTCCAGGCAAAGCCTCAGTTAGACCTGTTTCACCTGCAGCCGCTCAATCTCTTATAAATCACCCAGCTCAGCAGAGCCTTTCCTGCAGAGCAAGTCACCGATAAAAGACTGCACCCGCCACCTTGTTGATGTTTTTCATGCTGTGAAGTGGAAAATCAGGCAGATGTCAGCTAATTGACAATGTTATGCAGGGAAAGCAGAGCCCCAAGGCCTGGAAACAGGGGAAGTAGTGCTTCCCACAGGCCACTGGACACAGAGTCCGAAAGGCTGGCGTGGACTCCTGCACTGTGCCGTGCTGCTGAGGAGCAGGCCCTTCTCGGGGTGCTTCGGCTTTGCTCCAGGTGCAGCCCAGACGCTTCTCCCCAGGGCCGAGCCCAGTGCTGGTTCTGCTACTCATCCTTGCCTGGCCAGCTGGGGGTACCTACTAAATATCCACAGAGCGCCCGACTCCAAATGCCATCGGCCTCTCTAACTTGGCAGGCAGACCAGCCAGGCCGGGCCTCTCACCTCGGCCACCCCGGGGCTCCCTTCTGAGACGCCTCTTCCAGGTCACTCAGCCGAGACCAGCGTAAGCAGACACTAACTCCTCTGATCCGGTCCTCAGGGACCTGCACTGCATTCCTGGAGCAAGTGGAGGCCCGGCTGAGCATAAACACAGGACATGTGTCCTACCTGGGTTGGGCTCTGGCATCTCTACGTGACAGTCACAGTCTCGGAGACCTGTAAATCCCGCAGTCCTACTTCCACTCCTTTGGTCAGAGCGTGCCAGCCCCAACCCCCCCCCCCCCCCCCGGCGCCCGTGGCCCACTTGCAAGCTCTCTGCTTCTCTTTCTGACCCGTCCTCGTCCCCAAACCAAACTTGCTCTCTAGTAAATCGCTCATCCCATTATCCTCACTAGTGTCAATGATTCTCAAGAGGTTCGAGTTATATTTTGCTACAAATCTGCATATTTGTAAATAATTATTTTAACAGACACTCAATTGTTCATTTATTTTTCAGAGAGGTTGGTATTATGGGGGAGAGGATGTGAATTTGTAATCAGCCATATTCACTTTTTTATTTTTTATTCATTTGCCCATCCATACAACTGTGTATCCATTCATCCACCCACTTATCTTTAAGAAATATTTCTTAAAACACCTACATGCCTGACCCTTTCTAAGTATTGAGGATACAAATTTTAAAAAAAGACCCCCCCCCCAAAAAAAAAGAGAAATTCCTCTGGGAGCTCTTTTTCCATTTCTAGAAGTAACAGGTAAGCGCACTGCTGGTCAGCACCGTGGGGAGGCCTGTGGGAGGAGGCAGGGTGGGTCACCGTCACTCCGGGAGGAATGATGCTGAGTCTGGGAACTTGAGTATCGTCGGGCAGGTGGAGAGAGGACACGGGCCAGGAGTGAGGTGGCGGGGCCGGGGTGGGAGGAGAAGGCACAAATGCAGTCAAGGGAGAGTCAAGTTCAAATCCTAGCTCTGTCCCATGTAAGACTATCTGCAAGGCACATAATCTCTGCATTTATTTCCTCACTTGTGAAATGGGGATGCTAAGTGCTGCCTACCTTACAGGGTTGTTGTGAGAGTTAAACAAGCTAATGTATCTAGAATGTTTAGCACAGCACCTGGCTTATAAGCAGATGTTAAGTCAATGCTAGTTTCCATTTTCTTCTCATGGACTGATAGTTGGAGAAAATGATCTAAACTAGCCAGCCCAGTGAAAAGATAATTCAGCCTCAATAAACATATTGTCCACATAAGGGTCAGTTGCTACTGTTCAGTTGCTCCTGTACCCAGGAGCTTGGGTGTTTGGGCCCATGGCAGGTAGCACGACTTCTGTTGGCACACACCTGAGGGGTCCTTGAGGAGGTGCTGTCCCTGGACACAAGTGCGGGGGGGTCTGGTGGGTGGCCGCTGTGCCCCGTGTGGTGGGAAATTACTTGGGGACTGGGCGACGCAGTTTTGGATTGACAAAGTCCCTGTGAAGAGAGAAGACCGTTGATCACTGTGTGGAACAAGGCCTCTGTACCAAGGTGAATTTGTCTATTTCTTGGGCCAGGTTCGCAGGGATTGGCATCCTGACAGTGATCCTGGGGATTTTGCTGCTCCTTGGCTGCTGGTATTGCAGACGACGAAGTGGATACAGGAGCCTGAAGGTTGGTAAAGCGCCCATTGCTGGGATCCTTCCAGACCCAGAACCCACTTCCCTTCTGTTGCTGAATTGCTGGGCTGCAACATTCCCATGGTCGCCTCTAGCTCTGACTCCTGGTTCTGGTGAATCTTTTTCTACACTGTACTCCTTGCAATTCTCCTTGCAATGAGGAACTTGGCTGCTCTTCGGTTCCTCTCAGAGCAAACCTGAGTGATGGCTGTGTGTGTGGCCAAGCACCGACAGTCTGTGGGGCACAGGGCAGGGCTCGCGGTCACCTTGCACAGTCAACAGCAGCGTATGAGACACGCGAGGCCCACCAGCTCTTCTGGGGATTCTCACTGCCTCTGTTACGCCACTTAGCGGCTACTCCTCTCACCTTTGCCTCTTCACTCCTTTCCTCTCACGTTGCCTGGGAATTCTTCTGACTCTGCTATACCCGGCAACCCGGTGCACCTAGAAGCCATCTAGCATCAATGCAACAAAGTAACTATTCACTCCTCAGCAGCCAAAGGACCACCAGGTTTTTAACAGGCTCCATCTTCCTTTGATGGCGAAGTGATTTTAATAGCATATATATTTTTTCCTTACCATACAGCCAGAAAGCTAACACAATCCAGTCTTGGGGCAGCAGGGTCTTCCACAAATGGGAAACATCAACTGAGTCTCTAAACAATAGAACCTACAGGTTTCAGAAACCTCAGTTTATTTTTAAAATTAATTAATTAATTATTTTTAGAAAGAGGGGAAGGGAGGGAGAAAGAGGGAGCGAACCATTGATTGGTTGCCTCCTGCATGTTCCCAACTGGGGACTTGGCCCATAATCCAGGCATGAGCCCTGACTGGGAATTGAACCGGTGACCTTTCAATTTGCAGGCTGGCACTCAATCTACTGAGCCACACCAGCCAGGGCTCTCTCTCTGTCTCTATCTGCTACCACTCTTTCCCTCTCCTCTCTCTCTTGTTATTACAGATCTGAAAGCTTCTGAGGTTGATAAATAATGGAAAATTTATCTTTACAACAGATGTTGGGAAGTCCCAATCCTCGTTCAGGAGCACTTCATTCAGAGGAGGTGCCGAGACAGAGGGGAGGCCTGGGGTGGGACGCCATGGCCCCTGGTGTGGGAGGGGAAGGTGAAAGCTTAGCTGCAAATTCTCCCCGTCCTTCCTGGGAAGCTTGGGCGGTCCCGTGTGTCCCTTTCCTCATACCGGTCTTGCCAGTGTTTCAGATACAAACCATGCAAGACAGGGTGCATTTGGGGCTGACAGACCCATCGAGCAGCCGCCCTCTCGTGTGTTGACATTTCGTGGGAAGGAGAAGTTGCTGAGTCTTAATAAGACTCCAAACCAAGTACCACAGGAAAGCCTTGGATTAGGAGGTCCAGGATGGGACTCCTACTCATAGGACGCTTCTCTGTGGCCATCTACAACACGATGGGGCGTGGGGGTGAGGGAACCTGTGCTCTCTACCACAGAATTCCTCTTGTACCTCTAGCATGGGGCTGTGACATTGTCTTGTAATTGGCTATTTATGTTTTGCCTCTTCTACCTCTTCTCTTTCCTCCATTTTAAACAGGAATGGAAAATATTTCTTGTTTTTTAAAGTAAATGACTTTTTAAAAAATGATTTTATTTATTCTTTAACTTTTTTAGGCAGAGGGGGAGGGAGAGAGAGAGGGAGAGAAACATTACTATGTGGTTGCCTCTCATGTGCACCCTTTTGGGCACCTGGCCTGCAACCCAGGCTTGTGCCCTGACTGGGAATAGAACCAGCAACTCTTTGGTTTGCAGTCTGGTGCTCAATCCACTGAGCCACACCAGCCAGGGCTAAACAATTTTCTTATTCATCTTTGTACTTCCACTGTCCAGCACAGTGCCTGGCACATAGCAGTCACTCAGTTGTATGGCATCAGGTTTTGGTCTTATTGTCTGCCGTTGACCTGCTTGGTGCCCTTAGTTTTTAATTCCTCTAAGCCTCATTTGCTCTGTTCTATACCTAGGTACATGATATAACATGGTATATATCAGTTTTTATTTAATATATATATATATTTTTTTCTATCCCCGGCCGGTATGGCTCAGTGGACTGAGTGCTGGCCAGTGAACCAAAGGGTTGCCAGTTTGATTCCCAGTCAGGGCACATGTCTGGGTTGCAGGCCAGGTCCCCAGGGGTGGGTGTGTGAGAGGCAACCACACATTGATGATTTTCTCCCTCTCTTTCTCCCTCCCTTCCCCTCTCTCTAAAAATAAATAAATAAAATATTTAAATATATATATATATATATTTTCTATATAGTTTTTACTCATTCTATGTACGTAAAAAATCACAATAATTTAGCTTTTTAAGGAGTAACAGTTCTACAATCTCATTATGTTGGTATCAATTTCCTAACTGCCCACAATTGCTAGCTAGATGATACTGAGCAAAAGGACAACTTTTTTCTTTCCTTTCTGCTTCAACACTCTCATCTTAAACTCATTTAAGAGTAACAGAGAGGGTCTTAACATTGTGGGCTTAGGCACTGTGAACATTTTGCTTGGTAAGGTTCAAATTCAACTTATCATGTCTCCATTACTCTAGGTCTACATCAGTGATTTGCAGTTTCTGGAATTTTTATGTTTATATTCCCTGATTCCTGACTGTCTAAAAATGCTCTCTGTCATTTATCTATTTTTTAAAAAAATATTTCACTTATTTATTTTTAGAGAGAGGGAAGGGAGGGAGAAAGAGAGAGAGAAAGAAACATCAATGTGTAGTTGCCTCTTGCACATCCCCTACTGAGGTCCTGGCCTGCAACCCAGGCATGTGCCCTGAATGGGAATTGAACTGGTGACACTTTGGTTTGCAGGCAGGCACTCAATCCACTGAGCCAGGGCTCTGTCATTTATTTTTAAAATTAATACCAAAATCTCATTTTGAGACTTTCATATCTCCTGAAATGCCAGTTTTGGAATCAGCAGTCTAAGAAATGCAGGCAAAATTATGTAAAATAGTGCATTAAGTACTGCATTTAATTACATAATTACCTTCCAGTCTCTCTTTGGTGATTCTACTTTCATTTTAAAACAGAAGTACATGAATGACAATAAAGCAAGTTCTGGATATTTGAGTTACTCCATCTTTAACAACCCTCATTGAGCTTTAAAATACCTATTTTCCCACTTTCACTGAACATGGAATGGTATCAGGGTTGGTTGGAATGAAGATCTCTTAAAATTTCTCTGTTGGCTAATAATTCTCCTTATTTCTGGAAAACATCTTTTGAAGAGAAAGACTGCTTTTTCAGCAATATGTTCTTTCAGGAAAATGATTTGCAAGGCACTGGAAGTTGGTTTTTGTATTTACCAATTTTACTCTTTTACTTAAAAGTTAGAACACAATGCTTTTGATTCTTGGAGAGAATTTCGAGGCCCCTGCAGACAGCTCAGTTTATGCTCACGTCTCCTCTAGTTCTGTTTCTCAGAGCATGGTCAGGGGGTCCTGCACAGGAACCACCGGGGCTTCTTGCTAAAATGCAGATTCCAGGACCAGCTCTGGTGGTGAGAACCAGGAACCAGGAACCTGCATTTTGAGGTGCGCACTGTGGCAGGGGAGGGAGTTAAAACACAAAGAAAAAGAATAAAAGTGATAATTGATTAAAGGTGAAGAACGCATTAAATGTCTTTTCTGAGGTGTATCTCTGGGAGTTGGGGAGGGGACCAGAACCTCCCAGTGTCCTCATGTCAAGATTAAGGTCCTTGTGCATATATATCCTTATAGGAGGTGAGCCAGAGTTTAGGAAAACAACTCCTTTTTTTTTATCTGTTATTTATTTATTTGTTTGTTTAATGGATTATATGCTATTACAATTCTCCCATTTCTTTCTGCCCTTTAGTCCCCTCTGCCCTGTATCCTCCCACCCTGCAGCACCCCTCCGCCTTAGTTCATGTCCATGGGTCCTACACATAAGTTCTTTGGCTTCTCCGTTTCCCATACTATTCTAAACCTCCCCCTGTGTGTTTTGTACCTACCATTTACGCTTATTCTCTATATCTTCCCCCCATTCTCTCCCCTCTACACACCTGCTGATAGTCCTGCATGTGATTTCTATTTTTGTGATTCTCTTCCTGTTCTAGTTATTTGCTTAGTTGGTTTTTGTTTTGTGTTTTTTAGGTTCAGTTGTTGATAGTTGTGAGTTTGTGGTCACTTAACTGTTCAGTTTTTGACCTTCTTCTTTTTCCTTAGATAAGTCCCTTTAACATTTCATATAATAAGGGACTGGTGATGATGAACTCCTTTAACTTGACCTTATCTGGGAAGCACTTTATCTGCCCTTCCATTCTAAACGATAGCTTTGCTAGGCAGACTAATCTTGGATGTCGGTCTTTCGATTTCATGAGTTATAGCCCCTTCTTGCCTGTAAGGTCTCTCTTGAGAAATCCGCTGACAGTCTGATGGGAACTCCTTTGTAGGTGACTGTCTCCTTATCTCTTGTTGCTTCTAGGATTCTCTCCTTCATTTTAATCTTGGTTAATGTAATTATGATGTACCTTGGTGTGTGCTTTCTTGGGTCCAACTTCTTTGGGATTCTGAGCTTCCTGGACTTCCTGGAAGTCTATTTTCTTTGTCAGATTGGGGAAGTTCTCCTTTCTTATTTCTTTAGATAACTTTTCAATTTCTTGCTCTTGTTCTTCTCCCCTTCAGGCCTTGCTAGTATCCTCTCTGCCCCAGGCTGTCTCTGCCCCTCCTACTGGTTTAGATGAATGTTTCTTCTTTAATCCCATGCAGTTGTCAGAGTTCCATGCAGTTCAATTTTCTGGCAGTTCTCCTTGTTTTTTGTTTTTAAATCTGTTGTTATCCTTCTTCTGGTGGTGCAGGGAGGTACAGTGTATCTACCTACACCGCCATCTTGGCCGGAAGTCAGGAAACTGCTTCTTTACAGTTTGCATACTGTGTAGTTATCAGCCCAATCTGTGTCTGGCCTCATGTAACTGATGTTCCAAATACTTTCCCACCCTTGGAAACCTGCCTTGGTACCCTGACAGACCTCAACAATCAGCCACAGTCCACAGGCAAGCCTGGAGAGCCACTGCTCACCTGTAAGGCAGCCCTGTTCAAGCCTCCCTCAGCTGAGGCCACAGAGCACATGCTGGATTTGGCTCACAGAGATGTTTGGGCCTGTGTTTTTAAGAATTGAATTAGATGCTAACATTTGAAATAACCAGAACAGGAACAGAATCAGAGAAATGGGCATCACACAGAGGGAGTTCAGTGGGGAGGGGGAAGGGAGGAATAGAGAGGAAAGGTGCAGGGAAGAAGAAGCATAATTAGTAGGCATAAATAGATGGGGATAAATAAAAAATGGTATAAGAAACAGAGGACTCAGGGGACTTCCGCCAAGATGGAGGTATAGGTGGATGTGCCGTGCCTTCTCACACAACCAAGTTTAGGGACAACTAAATATGAGCATCAGAAAACACAACCAGAACACGGAAAATTGAACTTTTCAGAAGTCCGGTAACAACAAATTCTTCAGCCCGACCAGTAAGGGGCGAAACTGGCGTCTCGTGAGGGGTGGCACAGGACTCCGGTCGGACGGACCCAGGCGCGGAATCCAGACGCGCGAACCCAGACGCACGGGTTCCAAACCCAGGATTGGACCTAGTGAGCGACCGAGCGACCGAGCAACCCACCGGGTGAGCGACTGCTGAGGAGACAGTGGGGAGGCGGTGCTGCGTGTTGACTGCGGTTGCCTATCTGTGGGCGAGCGGACAGGCGAGGGAGTGGGCGCTTGGACCGGGCCCGGCGGTCCCCGTGGCTTGCGGCAGTAGAGGGCGCCGCCATTTCCCCGCTCTGACCACGCCCCCACATACAGCGTCACAACCCAGCGACCTGGGAGTCCAAAGCGCCGCTTCTCACATTTAAAGGGCCAGAACAGACCAAAAATGTCGCAGGAAGACCTCAGAGCCCCAGAGATAAATCTAAGCGACGAAGAAATAGCAAAACTCTCAGCCGCACAGTTTAAAACACTGGTCATCAGGTTCCTAACAGATCTGGTGGATTATAGCCACAAATTAGAGAAACATATGAAGGCTAAACTAAGGGAAATGAATGGAATTCCACAGAAAACCCATAGAGATGAAAAGGAAACTGGGACTCAAATCAATGAAGTGGCCCAGAAGAAAGCAAATAATGGCCAAACAGAAAAGAGTCAAGGAGCAAGAATTCAAAGAAATGAGGAGAGTCTTAGGAACCTCCAGGACATCTTTAAACGCTCCAATATCCGAATTATAGGGGTACCAGAAGGGGGAAAGACACAACCACCAGTGGAAAAATTATTTGAACAAATAATAAAAGAAAATTTCCCCAATCTGGCAAAGGAAATAGACTTCCAAGAAATCCAAGAAGCTCAGAGAGTACCAAAAAAGTTGGACTCAAGAAGAAACACACCAAGGCATATCATAATTACATTAGCCAAAATTAAAATGAAGGAGAGAATCCTAGAAGCAGCAAGAGCTAAGGGGACAATCACCTACAAAGGAGTCCCTATCAGACTGTCAGCAGATTTCTCAAAAGAGACCTTACAGGCAAGAAGGGGCTGGAAAGAAATATTCCAAGTCATGAAATCTAAAGACCTATAACCAAGATTGCTCTATCCAGCAAAACTTTCATTTAGAATGGAAGGACAGATAAGGTGCTTCTCAGATAAGATCAAATTCAAGGAGTTCATCATCACCAAGCCCTTATTATATGAAATGTTAAAGGGACTTATCTAAGAAAAAGAAGTTAAAGAAACATGAACAGTGAAAGAACAACAAGCTCACGGTTATTAACAACCACACCTAAAACGAAAGCAAGCTAAAAGAACAGCTAGATCAGGAGTGGAAACATAGAAATGAAGATCTCAAGGAGGGTTAGCAACAGGGGAGTGGGAGGAGGAGATGGGGGGAGAAGGTACAGAAAATAAGTAGCATAGACAGTAGATAGAAAATAGATGGGGGGGGCAAGAATAGCATGGGAAATATAGAACCTAAAGGACTTGGGACACATGGACATAAACTAAAGGGGGGTAATGGTGGGGATGGGGGGCAGGGTGGAGGGGAATGAAGGGGGGAATAGAACAACTGTAACAGCATAATCAATTTTAAAAAATAAATTAAAAAAATTAAAAAAAAAAGAAACAGAGGACTCAAACAACTTATATGTACAACCCATGGACATGAACTAAGGCACGGGGAATGCTGGAGGGTTGGGAGAACAGGGAGGAGGGGAGATTAAGGGGGAAAAATTAGGAAAACTGTAACAGCAAAATCAATAAAAAACACTTAAAATAAAATAACATTTTACATAAAACCTTGATTTATAGTTTCTTTTTCAAAAAAGCAAAAGATCTGGGAAGAACTGGCAGCTATACAGTCTCCTTAGATGGAATATACAATCCCTCTTTCCCTCTGCCGGCCCCCACTGGACCCTCTTGATTCCCTTTTGCATTACCTGCCTGGTCCCTCTAAGTATTTGAGTGTAGCTGAGTTGCCCAGCTGTAGGCAAGAAGGTGCGTTATCTCTACAGCAGTGGTTGTTGGTGTGGTTCCGGACCAGCAAAATCATGGGGGAACTGTTAGAAATGCAAAGTTGTGGCCTCACCCCAGACGCACTGTGTCAGAAATTCTGGGTGTGGGCCCAGAAATGTGTTTAACAGGCCCTCCAGGTGATGCTGATGCGTGCTACAGTTTGAAAACCACTGTAGTAGAGAATTTAACAACAATAAAAAAAGCAACCAAAGTCTGTTTTTTGTTATCATGAGATGCCAGCAATTTTAACAGTCAGTGATGCAATACCCCACCTCACCCAGGTGAACCGCTTCAGCAGTCTCCACTTTGGTTTGCGTCTCTGTCTTGTACAAACTGTTGTCATTCTATTCTAGGGATGAAGAGCATCATCCTCTAATCCTATGCAAAGCACTAAGCGTTTACCTATCCTCCCTGCAATAACTCAAGGTGCATCACAGCCTTAGACTGACTTGTCATTATTGTTGCAACCTGACTCAGGGCTGCAGCCAGAGCATTTCTGTCACAGTATATGCGTTCATAGTGTTTAAGATATTCTGCTGTCCTTGTGGGAGAGACAGAAATAGAGTATTAAATCCCTGGTGTGACGTTGTCAAATGCCTGTCCCCAATGTTCTATCAGCTCCTGCCTCACCAGCTCCGATCTACTCCTCTTGCAATCATTCTGAGGTTCATTTTTTTGTTTCACTCTTTTTCTCCTTCCCTTTAAAAATATTCATTAACTAATGTGTGTCAGGCACTGTACTATGTGTTTTGCCTTCAGTTAACTCCTCTAACATCTCTGAAAGGTAGGCAATGTTATTTTCATATTACAGATGCAAAAACTGGAATTCAGAGGGAACACAGAGTATGTGCCACAATCAAGATTAAAACCCATTCTTTTTTAAAAAAGATTTTATTTATTTATCTTTAGAGAGGGGAAGGGAGAGAGAAAGAGAGGAAACATCAGTGTGTGGTTGCCTCTCACACACCCTCAATGGGGGACCTGGGCTGCAACCCAGGCATGCGTACTGCCTGGGAATTGAGTGGGTGATCCTTCAGTTCCCAGGCTGGCACTCAATCCACTGAGCCACACCAGCCATGGCTAAAACCCATTCTTAAAAAACATCACCTTCTTTCTCATTTCTTTAATGGACTCAATTATTTCTTCTCACCCACTGACTTTTGTGAATTCACATTACAGGACAAAAGCTTTTATGCTGGTACCCAAAACACCTTAACAGGAAGATGTCTGTCCAAGGGATCTGGTCCACAGGACAGCAAACTACCTTTTCAGGAGAACAACTATGAACTTGCGGTAGGTTCAGATCCTGCGAGTATGTGAATGTATTTAATGCTATTGAACCATACACCTAAAAATGGGTTAACATGGTAAATTTTGTGTTATATCTATTTACCATAGTAAAAAATAATAAAGGTAAAAAACAAGGGAAGTCCAGAGATTTTCTTTCTTTTTGTGTGTGTTTTAAAACAGCATTTATTGATTTCACAGGGTCTGTAGGTCAGGATTTTGGGTGTGACTCATCTAGGTAGTCTGTTTCATGGTCGGTCACATGCCGAGATCAAGGTAGGCTATAGTCATCATGAAACCAGAAAAGCCGGTGTTCATGCTGCCTGTCTCCTAGTAGACACAATAAGCAGAGACAGAGATTGAGTCTTTTTAAAATAATCTATTTTATTAATTATGATATTACAGTTGTCCTATTTTTTTCTCCCCTTTATTTCCCTTTGCCCTGCAACTCCCTCCCACCAGCATTCCCCCACCTTAGTTCATGCCTATGGGTCATACATATAAGTTCTTTGGCTTCTCCATTTCCCATACTATTCTTAACCTCCCCTTGTCTATTTTGTACCTACCATTTATGCTTCTTATTCCCTATACTTTTCCCCTCATTTGCTCCCCTGCCCTGACCCACTGATAGTCCTCCATGTGATGTCCATTTTTGTGATTCGGTTCCTGTTCTAGTTGTTTGCTTAGTTGGTTTTTGTTTTTGTGGATTTTTAGGTTCAGTTATTGATAGTTGTGAGTTTGTGGTCATTTTATGATTCACAGGTTTTGATCTTCTTTTTCTTAGATAAGTCCCTTTAACATTTCATATAATAAGGGACTGGTGATGATGAATTTCTTTAACTTGACCTTATCTGGGAAGCACTTTATCTACCCTTCCATTCTAAAGGACAGCTTTGCTGGGCAGAGTAATCTTGCATGTAGGTTCTTTCCTTTCATGACTTTGAATACTTCTTTCTAGCCCCTTCTTGCCTGCAAGGTTTCTTTTGAGAAATCAGCTGATAGTCTTATGGGAACTTTTTTATAGGTAACTGTCTCCTTTTTTTCTTGCTGATTTTAAGATTCTTTCCTTATCTTTCATCATGGTTAATGTAATTATGATGTGCCTTAGTGTGTGCTTCCTTGGGTGCAACTTCTTTGGGGACTCTCTGAGCTTCCTGGACTTCCTGGAATTCTGTCTCCTTTGCCAGATTAGGGAAGCTCTCCATTGTTTTTTAAAAATAAGTTTCCAGTTTCTTGCTCTCCCTCTTCTCATTCTGGCACCCCTATGATTCAGATGTTGGAACATTTAAAGTTGTCCTGGAGGTTCCTAAGCCTCTCCTCACTTTTTTGAATTCTTGTTTATTCACTCTGTTCTGGCTGAATGTTTATTTCTTCCTTCTGCTCCAAATTGCTGATTTGAATCCTGTTTTCCTTCCCTTCACTGTTGTTTTTTTGTACATCTTCCTTTATTTCACTTTGCATAGCCTTCACTTCTTCTTCTATTTTGCAACCATATCCAACCATTTCTATGAGCATCCTGATTACCAGTGTTTTGAACTATGCATCTGATAGGTTGGCTATTTCTTCATAACTTAGTTCTATTTTTTGAGTTTTGATCTTTTCTTTCATTTGGGCCTTTTTTTTTTTTTTTTTTTTGCTCTCAGTCTTCCTGTTACAGAGTAAGGGGAAGAGCCTTAGGTATTTGTCAGGGCAGGGCAATTCACATGGCTGCATTGTGGTGCCCCATGTTGGGGAGGGGTCAGAGAGGGAGCAGTGCTGCATGCTAGGCTCTTGGCTGGCTTTCAATCACTTCCCCTGCTGCCCACAACCAAATTGGGCCCATCTGGTGCTGATTCCTGGGTGGGTGGTTTTGTGCACATTCTAGGACTCTGTGGGTCTCTCCAACCAACTCTCCTGAGGCTGGGAGTTTCTCCAGTGCCACAACACCCACAGATTTTTACTACCAGAGGTTTTGAGGCTTTGTTTTCCGATGCTGGAACCCTGGTTCATGCGATGTGTCTCACTCCCCAGTTTTAACTCCTGATTTATTCACATGCAAACGTGGGACTGCCTGGTCCTCCAGCTGTCACCTTGCCACAATTCCTCTCCCTCTCTGCTGCCCTTCTCTGCCTCTCCTACTAGTCTGGATGATGTTTCTTCTTTAACTCCTTAGTTATCAGACTTCCACACAGTTTAATTTCCTGACAGTTCTGGTTATTTTTTGTTTTTAAATTTGTTGTCCTTCTTTTAGTTGTGTAAGGAGGCAAAGTGTACCTATGTATTCCCCCATCTTGGCTAGAAGTCTATTTTCTTAAATTGTGTTCTCTTGTACCCAGATTTTCCAGGGTCAATAATAAGGGCTTTATATATAGGATCCAAAGGAAGAACTTGGTTCTGGATACAATATCCTTTTTTGTCTTATGTTTTTAGTATATTTGTCTATGTCCTGAACATACCTGTATCTAAGGAAAAAAATAAAAGACCTTTCATTAATTGTATAGAGCTGTGCTGTCTAATAAGGTAGCCACCAGCTACACGTGGCTATTGAGTACTTAAAACATAGTAGTTTCAATTGAGATGCGTTGTACTATCTACCAGATTTCAAACACTTAGTATGAAGCATATTGAGTATGTGTTCAAACAGTAATATTTTAATATGTGAGGTTAAATGAAACGTATTATTAGGATTAATGTTCCCTACTTCTTTTTCTTTTTACTCGTGGCTATTAGAAATCTTACAGTCACATGTGCTCTGTTTCTATGGACAGTGCAGGTGTGAGTGCGATGTATGTATGATAATGGTTGAAGGCACTGACCCTGGGACAAATTACTGAGTTTGTTCTTAGCTCCACACTTACTAGTTGTGTGACCTTGGGCAAGTAAGTGACTTAACTTCCCTGTACCTTAGTTTCCCAACCTGTAACATGAAAATGCTCCTAGAATTCCTGTGAACATTAAATGAAGGCCTGACATGTTTGTGCTCTGTTGATAGCAGCAGTGGCCTTTAGACATAACTGCAAGGAGTTACCTATATGGTAAAAATGCAGTGTATTTAATGTCTGTAAACAGGGTCCAACGTTTCAATAGTTAGGGCTTGGGGCTTCTATTGACAAGGATATTCCAGGCGTATACCAGTTTTTGAGATTTTGGGAAGCCCCTTCACCCTATTTTTTTCTGTACTTCTGGCCCCAACAATGTTTCAACACACTTGTGAACTTTAAAAATCATTACCTTGCTGGGTGGAAATTAGATGTGGGCACTTAAGTTTCAGTCCAGAGCAGAAGTATAAATATGATGCTACCTATGATGACTTACTGGCTTTCCCAGAAACATATGCACTGCTGCCAGGCCCATAACTCTCCCTTTCTCACTCCCACAGGTTCCCAATGCTCCGCCTGCCTATGAGAAACTCTCCACACAAGCGGCGCCACCACCTTACTCTCCGTGAGAGCCAGCGAGGCCCCTGAGAGCTGCTGAGACGATTTCCCTCATGCTTTGGATTACATTTAACATGGACATTTAGTATTTTGCTCCAGAATGCTGTAGAAACACTGCATACAATCTCTAATAATAAGCTTAGTGTTACATTTAGTAGGTCAACTAGCAATACTAACTGAGGAAATGATGAAAAATATCAAAATGGAAAAGCTTTGTCAATAAATGTTGTAATGCATGATACTGCTTGTACCAGTAGCAATGCTAATACATCTGTGGTGTTATTTCTGGTTGAATAGAATTTAAGTGTGTGTTTTGGGACCATTCAATTTCTTTTTAGTTGAAATTTCACCAATAACTAACAAACTATTATTCTGCTTTTGGAAGGAGCAACTTCTTGAACAAACTGAACTCTAACAGGTAAGTTTGTGCTATGGAGCACTCACAAAGGATAACTTTACAGATTTAAGACCAAGAGCTGATTGATGTACCAAATCATATAGTCAGACTGATCTGATCAGGAAAGTGTCAGCAATGTCTTTTTGTGTTCCATGATGCTACAAAACATACTGCAAAGATCCTCTTAAGGTATACAGTTCTAATTGCATTTCATTTCAGGGCTCAGTGTTATCATAATTAATGACAAGAATTTTCCGTTAAATCCGAAAGTGGTATCAGAATTTAAATAGGTGAAAGCTACTCTAGTTAAGTTTGTCTGATATTTTGCCTTAAATGTGACAGTGGCAGTTTAGCTCCTGTGGACCCCCAAATCCCTCAAAAGAGTATACAGAAGAAATCATAAAGGACCAGAGATTCCCAAAGAGTGTTATCATTTGCTCGCAACATTGTAATTTTTTTGTTGTTGACATCTACATATCATGTATACTATTATTTATCTAATATTTCTCTTTCAGTCAGCTCATTTAAAAAATTTGGCTTACATGTGTACCACCACACTAAATGGAAAATCAGTATCATTTTCTGTAAGTAGAGGACAACTGTAAACATAAAGATAATGAAAGTATTTTTATTAAAAGGTAGGAGGATACTGATGGTTGCAGAAGGCTATCAGCCTAAAACCTGCTCTCCTTATTAAAGAACCAGATTAGCAAGAATCAGAGAAAAGCTTTTAACATAATTAAAAGGCTTGCAAGAGAAAGAAATTACTTTCTCAATGTGTGACTCAGTATTCTCTTATGCTGAGTCAGTAAACCACCTACAATTGTCTTGTGTCATTGGAAACATCAGGGTAGCCTAACTGCAGCATTTTCTATAAAAGACAAGATTGCACTGAAGAGAAAAAATAAATCTGGTTAACAGAAACTTGTACACACATTGAAGAAAATGGCCACAAAATGCTAAAATACCTCTGTCCTTTCTCTGTCCAGTCTTACCACTTAAAATAAGCTCTGTCCCTTCCCTTTTCAAACAAATAAATGAGTTCTAAACCAAGTAAACTCCATCAGGCATTTGGCCAGCTCCTTTCTTCATTGAAAGGCTTAGTCTGAGCCTTTATCATCCACATTTACAGAATAACTTGTGGCTTGAGCCCTGGACCCCTCCAAGATCCCCAGACCATCCATCATCCAATGAGCATTCTCTCCTTCCCCATGGAAAAGTCCCTTTTCACAGTTCCTCAAGGCAGTGTCCTGGGTAACAGGCAAGGAGGGTTGAGCTGAGTTCGCCAGGGAAAAGCTAGAATGAGATTTTGTTTCAAGGAATTTAAGGTGTCAGATGCAGCCAAAAGTAGGACCTGCTCCCTACCCAGAGGCAGCCACACTTTTGGAAATCATTCCCTGGACTGGAGACCAATTTTGGAAGAACCTTGGGATCTGGGAGCTGAAGACTGCAGGATCACATGGTGGAAGGAGCCTGGGTCACTGAGACACCACTGAAGGAGAGAATCGTCCACCTAGGAATGCTTGGATTGAATGAAGACCAACTGGCCCCAAAGAATATCCATAAACCGTTAAGACACTGCCAAATCTGACACTGAAATTCAGGGCTGTTAGTTAACACTTCTGTTGAGGCCCTTCAGTGCTCTAACCCTGCCCACCTGGACTGAACAAATGGGGGCTACAGGGGTGCCTCCAGGGGAAGGAGATCCCTGTGACCTTTGCAGGCAGGATCAGGCTTCCCTCCTGCCAAAGGAAGCTTGAACTCAGGAGAATGAGCCTCCCCAGTGCCCTGGGCACAGGAGTCCTCCCCTGCAGGCTGCTCACCAAAAAGCCTGACATGCTCGAGGGCACAGTGGTAATGGCATGGCACTGCTTTGACCTCATATGCTTCCTGGAGGATCACGTCAGGACTAGCGTGGTCACAGCTCACAGCCTCAAGTCATCTGCGGCATTTTTTTACCTGTCCAAATTCACTGGATACGTAAAATTGCTTTCCATTTGTGCAGTGAGCTCTGTGTTATAGAACCTGGTCTTCACCAGGTGTCACGTATGGTCTGATGCTTGATTCAAGCCCCAAGTCTCTAAGGTTTTCCCTAGCAGGTTCTAATATGCACTCTGATTGTAAAGAGAGTAAACAGCAGGTAAACTTGAGGGAAAAAGAGCTAGTCCAAAGATTTGCTGCCTGGGTTAAAGTCAGTGAGTTTAGACTGACTATACAAATCAGTGAAGCCCCCAAGTCACCTCCAGTGAAGACCAGTGCTCTGAAGTTATAAACACTGACTTAGGTAGCACTTATAAATCTGGATAGATCCACTTGTCATTTGAGAATATTACAGAACTTTTCCAAAAAATCCCCCCCCCCCGCCCAGAAACCAGCGAGGCTCTTAAACCTTCATTTCATGGCTTAACTTTAAGGATTGACACAGTTTTGGAAATGCATTAAAATTCCTCGATCTCAAGTTATTGATGACAGAACATCATTAAAATATCTTAGAAGAATATAGAACAAATTCAGAGGGAAATCATGGATGGTTTGGATAAAAGCACTCATTTTGAAGAAAGCCTAAAACTGCCATACAAGAAGCTGGAAAAGTAAAAGTGCGGGAAATAAACAGAAACAAAAGATGCTTGACAATTTGAAAACACAAATGAGAGTCTTTAAATGATAGAGAGAGCCCCTTAAAATCTCTGAAATAGTACTGATGAAAAGTCTGCCTGCTTTATTTTTCAAAAAGATTTTTACTTATTTATTTCTAGAGAGAGGGGAATGATGGGAGAGAAACATCAATGTGTGGTTGCCTCTCATGCGCCCCCTACTGGGGACCTGGCCTGCAACCCAAGAATGTGCCCTGACTGGGAATCAAACCAACTATCTTTTGGTTCTCAGGCGGGGCACTCAGAGCCACACCAGCCAGGGCTGCCTGCTTTCTTTAGAAAAGATTACATATATACATGATAACCATACTGAGGTCAAAGAAACATACTGAGATCAAAGCAAAATCCAAGAAATCAAAGAGAAAATTTTAGAAAATGAGAACTACTCTACTGTTAATGAGAAGTCAATTTGAATATACTGATCCAATTAAGTATTTCTTTAAAAAGGCTTGAAGGAGAAAATCAAGGACCATTTAAAAAGTTCAGTGAAGAAATCTATATGGACAAATCACAGTTCAAAAACCAACCAAAATTTCAAATACTGCTTACTGGGCTACATCAAGAACATGTAATGCAAATTTGCAGAATAATTAATCAATTGAAGAAAGAACTCACTGCTTAGAAACCTAGAAGAAACTTCCCAAAGTGTATGACAATATTAGCTGTATATATCAGAAGTACGACTCCTACAAGGCGGCCTTGAGAAAAAGTGGGATAGAAGCCCTTCCTTTTTGAAAGGCTGGATCGTCTCCTGTGAGAAAAAAGCTCAAGAAAGTTGGATGGCAGCCTGGCTGAGAGAAAAGCTGAGACAAGAAAAGAAAATAATCAATCACAACAGACAAAATTGGCTGAAGTTTAAATTCCAGCTTTTCCCAAGTGGCGCCCACTGTTCCACATGCTGCCCTGGGCAGAGGCCAGGGAGTACCAGGTCACTTCCTAAATCATGAGGTTCCCAGAGGAGGGGTTGAGTTGTGAGGACTCAAGCATCTGAGTCACCTGCAGGTTTGAGTCAGGTTTACAGTAGTCAACTCCCTAATATCCACAGAAAGATGTATTTTCTCATTCAAAAATAGTATTTAGATCAATCTTCTTTCAGTTTAACTGTTTTTACTTATTTGATGCTGTATTTTCTCAAATTGAAGTTTGATAGAATCATAATTCCTAAGATAGTGTTCTGAGGATTTAGATGGTTTTAATAAAATTCTAGACCACTTCACTCTAGAATTAGATACATGTAAGTATTGTATTTAGATTGAACTAAATGGCCCACTATTACTTAAGCCATAATTGAATTTTTATATGATCAGGGACAGACATTTAAGTCAGTAAAGACCACTTATATAGACTATAAACTATTAGAAGATATCTGTAAAAGCAACCCAATATTGACAATACACTTTAATTACAAACAATATAAAACAAGAACTCCACCAATACCAACACTGAACAAAACTCCACATCCTCAACTAAACCTATTAGTATTTTTATTAGTTTAGCAATGAATTCTTTGATTTAGGGGGATATTAACACTTTGTTCATGACATTCTTTGCTGTTTAAATGTCTGTAAATTTTATGCAGTCAAAAATAAACAATCCTTTGAAACAATCCTTTTCTTTATTCCTCTCAGTCTGAATACCAGCACACCTCAGAGATACTGCAGGTTTGGTTCTAGACCACTGCAATAGAGTAGCAAGCTTTTTGCTGGTGTAGGGTCTTGCCTTCAATTTATGTATACATATACCAAAACATCCGTGAAGCACAATAAAATGAGGTTATGCTTGATAGAGTTTTATTTTCTCACTACTTTACTGCTATCATTGCTGCCAGGTAACAGGTTTTCACACTATCTGTTTGACCCACCTAGAAACTTCCTAATTGGTCCCCGTCTCTAGTCAGGTGAATGATAGTAGCTACTATTATGTGGCAGGTGGCCTTGCGTCAATTGTTTTAAGTAAGTTAACTCATCTGAATGATAGTAGCTACTATTATGTGGCACGTGGCCTTGCGTCAATTGTTT